AGTTTCTCTAGTGTGAGAAACTGAAAATGTAAATAAGGACTAAAAGGTATAATAGATAATGTGAAATAGGAAGAAAAGGGGCAATGGGGAGGGAGAAGTGGGCAGGGTAGGGGAAAGGAAAGAAGGGGATGGTATTAATATGAGAAAATGACAAAATGGAAACAAAGTCTTTGTAAATAGGGAGGGACGGAGGGGTTGAAGGGAGGGCAGGGGAAGGGGGAAAAAATAGGAACCAAGAGAGATTATGTAAAGGTGCAAATTTCCAATGATGAATGTCATTATACTGTACACCTAAAATGTACCAATAAAAGGATTAAAAAAAAGATTAAAATGAATAATTGATAATTTGAAATAGGAAGAAAAGGTCCAAATGGGTAGGGGTGGTGGGGGGAAGAGGAAAGGAAAGAAGGGAAAGGAAAAATTATGAGAAAAGAAAAAGTATAGAAATGAAATCTATGTAAATAGGGAAAGGTGGAGGGGGTGAAGGGCACACAGGTAATGGGAAAAAAATAAGAACCAAGATACATCATGTACAGGTATAAGCACCCAATGATAAAAGTAAACGTATTGTATACCTAAAATATACCAATAAAAGAATTTAAGGAAAAAAATATATAGAGAGTGCACAAATTCAAAGAGATAGGAAATAGATAAGCAGTGACCAGGTGTGGGGTAAGAGGTTGGAGAGTTGCACACTGGGTACAGTTTCTATTTGAGTGTTGACAAAGTTTGGAAATAGGTAAGTGACAGTTTTATAACATTCTGAGTATAACTAATGTCACAGAGTTCAAATTTGAAATGGGTAAAATGGTAAATTTTGATATATCTATATATCCACAAAAAGAAAGCAGGGAAGAAGACAGCTGAAGTCCCAGAAAATGTGGGGCGAGGGCCGGGGATTTAGCTCAGTGGTTCCATCACCTGCCCCACAAGCGCAAGGACCCAAGTTCAATCCCCGGTACCAAAACAAAAATGAAAAAGAAAATGTGGGGCTGGATTGTAGAGGGGGAGCTCACATTCCCTAGAAAAGAAAAAAGTCCTGCAAAGGTCAGAGGCTGGGGACAGAAGGGAGAAATGAATAGGCTCCAAGAACCCTGGAGTGTGGTCTTTCCAGCAGCCCAGTCCAGGCGTTTGAGAGAAGCGCCCAGCTGCTGGGTATCATCCAGTGGGGGCACAAGCTAGATTTGGAGTGAGGGGTAAGGAGTGGGCAGGGCACAGCAGAGGGGCAGGAAGGGAAGTCTGCTATTTAGGCCAGGTCCACAGCCAAGACCAAACAACATTTTTAGACTGCCACATCATCCTGCTATGCATCAAGTTGTGTTCTCCCTGGTGTGTATTTGAAGCCCTAAGTCCCCTCTGGCTGTATTTGGAGATGAGCCCTTTAGGGTGTAACTAAAGTTCAGTGAGGTCATAAGGTGGAGGTGAGACCCTAATCCGATAGAAGTAGTGCCATCATAAGAAGAGACAGTTTGCTGTTGGCCCCCTCCTTCAAGCTACCAAGTGGGGCAAGAGAGAAGTTGAAGGTCAGCAAAGCCAGGAGGAGAACCTCACCAGAAGCCAACCCCAGCAGGCCTTGATCAGGAATGGTCAAGCCTCCAGACTGTGAGAAAGTACTACTCCCTGTTTAAGCCACCTAGGCTGTGGCATGTTACTATGGCAGCCTATGAAGAACTATTAACAACAGAAATTTCTCAGTCAACTGTTCTCTCCAAGAAAGCAACTTCATCTGCCAGTGGAAACCTTCCCATCTATCTTAGTTACTTTCTCATTGCTGAGACAAAATATCCAACATCCAAAGTTAAAGGAAGCAAGGTTTATTTGGCTCACAGTCTGTAGAGGTTTCAGTCCATAATCAGCTGTATTCAATGCAGGGTGGACAGGGATCGCAGAGGAGAAACAGCTCATGGCAAGCAGAAGGTAGCAAAGCAACAGGGGCAACCGCAGCTCTTTCTGTCCCTTATATCTTATCCAGGCTACTTAGGATGAGTAGAACTCACAACCTTAATCCCAGCGCCCTTGATTCTAGCATTGGACAATGAATCAACTCCAGTGTCACACACTCTAGTCCCAGACACCTCTTAAAAAGCTCCATTCAAGACCTCATGAGGCTTTGGGGGGACATCTAGACACAAGTCATAGCACCATCCTTCAAATTCAAATTTGAACACCACCTCTTTCATGACATCTTTTCTGATTGCTGGGCCAAAAGTGATTTCTGTGTCCTCTGGACTCCAACAACATTTTACCCAGGAGATCCTTGAAGGAGCCAGACCACCACCATCCTAGACTGACCAGAGGCCACTCTAAGCTTCTTCTACCCCACTATGCTGAACACCTGCTAAGGTGTATAATCACAGGTTAATAAGGCACAGTAATCATGGCTACACCCCGTAACTCCCATCACATTCTTCAGCCCTCCTCCTGACAGACAACCACCACACCCTGCGTTTCTCAAGCCTTATCTCTAGCAGATAACCACAGCTCTGGCTTACCCAACTTCCCCCCTTACAGCCCCATTTTGACTTTTTCCTTTCATAGCCCCTTTTATGCTCATGACTATATAAAAGATCTCATAGCCTGCAAGAGAGTTACTGGTCTGGTCTAACTGCCAGGGCGGTCCCTCTCAGGTTTGTTCTGAAATAAACCTGTCCTGTTGGGCTCCTACCTTGTTTTTCCCTCTTTTTTCCTAACAATCCTTAGTTGGGTTCTATCATAGAGCTCATCAAGGCCTAGACCTGGGCTCTCTTTCACTCTGAAAGCCCCATTCCAATCCCCAGCTCATCTCCGTCTTCAGCTTGAACTTTTTCTCTGAACTGCAGGCCTGACTCAGTGCCTTCATCCGGGTAGCTGAAAGCACATGAAGTTTATTGTGTCCAAATGGAACCTGTTCCTCCCAGTTGTGTTTCTTCCTTGGTGTTTGTGATTTTAGTGGTGAATACCTCCATTTGTCAACATCACGTCCAGCCACATGCAGATGTATCTCAATGACACCCTCGGTCCCCTGGCCTACCCTGTCCACCTCTCAGGGGGTACCACGGCCTTTAGGTTGAGCCATTACCCCTTTGTTTGGATCTTAAATGTCCTTCAAGTGCTCATGAGGTGAAGGCCTGGTCTCCAGAGTAGCAGTCTCTGGAGGCAGGGCCTTTGTGGATGCCTGGATCAGGAGGGTGCCAAACTTGGCAGTGGATGCCAGTGCTGTGGGAAGTGTTCCTACTTCTCTTCATTGCTTTGTTTCAGGTACTTCTCTAAAGCTGCGTTCAAGCCTAGTTTACCCAAATGACTGTTGCAGACCTGTCCCCAGCCTCCACCTACGGAGCCAGTCCTGCTGGGAGCAGGTTCCCAGGTACCCTCTATTTAAATGTCAGGAGCTGGCACACTGACCTTCAGTGGCAAGGAGATTGTGTGTGGGTGTTCAGCAGCGAGCAGGACGCTCAACAACAGCCTGCTTCGTGCAGGAATGATCAAGGGATAGAGCCCGGCGCAGCCACTTTCCAGCTATCCGGCTTGGGGAGTCACTTGTCTTCTTGGCCCCAAGGTTCCCAACTCAGGAAGCAAGCCCAGGTACTATTTCTCTAAGAGGGTAATCTGAACCTCCTGACAGGCGGGGGCCCACAGCTCTGTAGTTCCCAGCTGTGCAAGCCACAGGGAAGATGCTAATCATCCCGGGGAAGGGGGAAGACTTTCGGGAAGTGATCCTCAAGTAGGATCTGAGGGAGAAGGTCCAGGCTGAGGGCACAGCCTGCACCCAGCGGGGCGGCCCACCTTGCAGGCCCTCCAGGCGGAAGGTGCGGTGCTCCACGGCCAGGCCCACGGCACTGTAGGGTCCGTATCTCAGGATGACTTCTGCTTTCGCAGGCATGGCGCGGCCAGCCCCACGGCAGCCTGGGAGACTGAGCGAAGCCCGCCGCTGCTAAGGAAACCGCCCTCTGCACCCTGTGTGGGCGAGGCCTCGCGCGGAGCGGGGCGGGGCCGCAGCCAATGCTAGGTCGGGCCGAGGCGGGGCTGAGCCAATGTGGGGAGCTGGCGGGGCCTGGGCGAGTCTAGCAACCCTCTACGCCCAGCCCAACCTCAGACTTGCTCTCCGGACTTCAGGGCCAGGTAAACTAAGGCAATTTCAACCAGGCACGGCACGCTTTGCTGGTACTTAACAATAGACCTTTACGGGCCAGTTGAAGCGTCAGGCGGCGTGCTAAGCACTTTCCAAAACGCTTTTCATTTAACCATTGTACCGTCCCTTCCAAATTAAGTCGCAGTTTGAATTTGTATTTAGAAAACTGAGCACAGTCTGAGAGGCCAAGAAGCCGTCCCAAGCCAGAAGGGTGTCCTGTGGACGGGAAACCCTCGGGGGTCCTCTACTTACCTGATGCTTTTTGGATTGGTTCACTACATGCTTAGATCATTTGCATGTCGCCTCTCTCTGAAAGCTGTTTCCGTTCTCTTACTAGTTCCTCTGCTTGAGCCCTCTGTCCTTGGGAATGCGGACCTAAAGGACACCTGCCTCTTACAGCCCTGGCAGGCACACCGGCCGCTCCGTCCTCAGTGCCCCCACGCAGAGGATCAGGAGCAGAGGGGGGGGCTCCGGATGGCTGCGCAGGATAGACCCCACGAGTCTGCCGCAGGAGCAAGAAGGTTATTCTGGGACCTCTGAGAGTTTGGGGTTGTTCGTTACAGCAATTATGCAAACCTAATAATTACATCCTGCGAGTGCCACACATATCTTTAATTTCTAACCATTAGTGGTAGTTAATATTTTTGCCCTCCTTTTGAACAGTGCAGGGATTTAAAATCCCTTTTCCTAATTCTTCTCCCAACATAAGCTCTCGTTGTGTATTTTAATTATCTCCATGTGTACAATCTGTTACTACAGTGACACATATTTCATTGGGGAGAATTAGGTTATACATGACTGGTAAATAGAGGAACGATGCCAGAAGAATTCTGACTGTTTGGAAATCGTAAATGGTTTCTCGGAGCACCTTGTTCTGCACCATCAGCTAACAGCAACTGCACTCAAATTCTGTTCACTTTTTAAGAGGAAATTCTCTATTTACTGTAGTATCTTTATCAAAATTTAATTTTGTTGCATTAACTTTTTTTTTCAGTACTGGGAACTGAACCCAGGGCCTTCACTAGGCTATATCACAGCCCTTAAATTTTTTTTTTTTTAAATTTTGAGACAGGGTCTCAGCCACTAACTTGGTCTGGCTGGGCACAAATGTATTTAGGTATGTATGTATGTATGTATGTATGTATTTATTATTTTCCAATACTGGGAATCAAACTCAGGACCTTGCGCTTGCCAGGCAGTTGTGGTGCCACTGAGCTAAATCTCCAGCTCTAGGCTCAAATTTACATCCCTCCCAGAGGGATAGGACCATGGGTACACACCTCCCTGTTCAGCTTCGCTAAAATGTTTTATAAAGATTGTTGTTATTGTTCTGTTTTCATGTTTATTTCTTGCTTTCTATAGATTCACCGTAAGGTGCCAGTGTGCAAGTATCTTTATTTATTCTCTTTGTGTTTTGCTAAAATTCTGGAAACTGAATTAAGGACTTTCATCAGTTTTTGGAAAAGTTTCAGCCATTACTTCTTTACATATTACTTCGGGTCCATTTTCACACTTCAAGAACTCTAGTTTAATGTATGTTAGACCTTCTCACGGTATTCTTTCATTTTTATTTTTATTTTTATTTTTTTGAGAAAGGGTCTTTCTGTGTCACCCAAGCTGGCCTCAAGTTCACTGTCATCCTCCTGCCTCAGCCTCCAGAATTCTGGGATTACAGTCGTGTGCCACCATGCCCTACTCACTGCATTCTTTATGTCTAGTCTGTAGTTTTCTTTCTCTTTTTGATTTTCCTACAAATGTCTTAAATTTATCCTTCTTTTTTTCCCCCCCAGAACCAGGGATCAAACTCGGGACCTTGCACTTTTGAGGCAGGCGCAGTGCCACAGAGTTAAATCTCTGACTCTCTTAAATTTATGCTTCTTTATAGCTGAATAGGACAGGGGATTTAGCTCAGTGATTTCGCCGCCTGCTGTGCACGCGCAAGGACCTGAGTTTGATCCCCGGTACAAAAAAAAAAAAAAAAATTTCACACTATAGCTGAATAGTGTTCTGTATGTATAGATACCACATTTTCTTTATCTTGCATGTCTGTTGATGAACATATATATAGGCTCCTTCCAAAAGTAATCTATTATGAATTGGGCTGATATAAACATTCA